CTAATAAATGGTAGCCCAAATTTTAGCATTTTGTGCTACTTTTTTTTTTTTCCTTTTTTCCTTTTTTCCTTTTCCATAATCATGTTTATTCTTGGTGTTTTTATTAATCTAACCTCTGATATATTTGTCACCTGTTCTGTCGTATCAGTGTTTCTTTTCATTTTCTTCCTCATTTCAGTCTTTTTTGAGCTGCCCAATCTGGTTGGAGCAGTGCCCATAAATTCCTTCCCCCATTGTATCACTCTTGGGTTGCTCTGATTATAAACCCAATTCTGCTTTTCGCTATGTGTGTGTGTGTGTGTGTGTGTGTGTGTTTGGGGGTGTGTGCGCAAGGGAGAGAGACTTTACTGTCTAAATTAATGCTAAATTCAGTATGGCAGAGGGGGAAGGGAGAATTATAGTGATTCTTTGTGTGCGTGCATGCAAGTGTTTCACACCAGTCTATCAGATATTTCCACATCTGATTCTGTTTTTTTCTTATATTAAAGAACCTTTTTGTCATATTTCTGGGCATATAAGCCTGTGTTTTATATTTGTGTGTGTGTGCGTGTCTTTGTTTTAGTGGAACAGATGTAGTGACAGACTTCAGGGTCTCTTCAGTCAAGGAGAAACATTTAACAGGCAGTGTGGCGTAACACACATGCGCGCGCACACACACATTGTGCTTTTGTGTATGAGCATACACAAAAGCATACAAAAGACTTGAATGAACAAGCATACACATGCTCATGCACCCATCCAAACACACATGTACAGAGGCATACGTACACATATTCATTCTCATAGATCATTTGGTAATCCCTATGTTTAATAGAGTCTGGGACCCCCAGTTCTCTTCCCTCTTCCTCTGCCCTCATTCATTACATGGTCTTGAAAGGTAAAACTTCAGGGAATATTAAGGTTTCTGGCCTGCATGTCTGCTTTGAGGCTCAGAGTAGAAACTTGCTTCATTTGTCAGGCCTTTTGTCTGCCAGATAGAGGCCAGGGACAGCAGCCAGGACTGCGTGTGTCTCGTTGTCCGTCTGTGTCCATCTTCCACCTTATTCTTTTGGATCAATCTGCTTTGCTTCACTTCACAGCACTGTATCACTGTATTGTCATTTTGGTGTTGTGGGGAAAAAAGGAGTTGAACCTTTTTTTCCTAGCTCAGATATCTGTATGATATGCATTATAATTGGTAGAAATGATTTTTAATTAGGCTAACTGGTGATAAATCATGAAGGGGGGAGGGGTGTTCATACCAGCAGTCCTATTTCTCAGGAAGTGGATATTTTGAAATGAAAATTTAATGAACCTGTGGGGAAACTGGCATTTTTTTTTTAACCATAAAGGTTTGTGAAAACATTGTGGCTAACAATTATTTTCATTATGTTTAGTCTGTTTAATTAATTAATTAATTGTTTAATTTATTAAATGTCTGCTCTAACTTTTGTATTGGAACAAATTAGTTATTGTTAATAACTTGTCACGTTTTTGTTTATTACACTAAATTCTGTCAGGGATCATGTACAAAAACAGTAATCTCAGAGAGAGGAGATGCTTTGCACAAGATTTAGCTACTAGCAAATTTCCATCAGCAGTCCATTTGAATCAACTCAAACTACAATAGAATACCACGCCAGGGATTTGAACCAGCAACCTTTTGGGCTTCTGATATTTTTCTCTTACCATCTTACTTTTTCACATAATATACTAACCTGTGAGCAAGCATGTTTTAATCCCCGTGGACATTATTATTATTATTATTATTTGTATATCTACATGCCTTGCACCGGCCTGTAACTTCTCTTCACACACATCAACCATGCTTGTAAAATATCCACCTGTCCTCCGCGTCTTGTAACATAATACCAAGTTTACCAAGGAAAGTCTATGTGTAGGAAACGTAATAGTACAACCGCTACCCCGCCCCACCCAATGTCTTCGTTGATCCCGATGTTTCATTGTAGACATCGTCCGTTGGCAATTTTGTAGACATAGCCCAACCCTAGTGCCAATATTAAAATTAAATAATCTACTTGAAATGTCATTCAATGTCATTTCCATTTGGTTCCACATGATGTATGACAGCATGCACACACTTTTTCAAATCCAACTATGAGACACACAGAATAACAACAGATTGATCCTGTCATACATCATCTTTCTCCTTTTATCGCTAAACATTATCTCATGAATTTCTTCCTTGTCTGGATTCCAGATCTCTTTCTCTTGTGCAGCCTGCACTCAGTTTTCTTTGTTCTTATGCTTCACCTTTATCCTGTAAATTACCACCCCTCCAATTACTACCTCCCCCCGCACTTCATCTGTCTCCTCATCCCTTCGCCCTTGTCTCCTTCCAAAGACCCCACCCCCTCCCTTATTTAATTATTCACCTCTGCATGTCTCTACCGCTCTCTTTTTTTTGATCTGGCTCTGGGGTTACACTACTATTTGTGTCATTCAGGCATTTTGCCTTTATCATCATGTAGGTATTTACTGAGGGGGGAGGGAGTCTATGTGCCACCTCTTATGAAATGTTTCAATCATTTGAACTACAGATAAAGCGCCTAATCCTCTTCCAATCAAAAACACTGTATGTTATCTCTGTGCATGTAACGTTCTCAGCTAGAATAAACATGCTAAAACACAAGAAGTTAAAGCTAGTTCTGTATTGATAGCTAAAACATTCAAATACTAATACATGATAAAGATAAATGGTCAAATCAAATACAGATATAAATAAATAAGTAAAGGGCATTTCCCACTCCTTGGTCTGGGTTTGACTTTTATTGTTCCTGTAGATATCTTATTTCTCTCCATTATACTGCCGTAAGTTCAGAAAAGCTTCTTGGAAGTTGCTGTGTCTGGGGAGCCGTTAGGTGTGAGACCGCAGAAATGGAAGCCGTCGTCAAAGTACATGAAAGTGCAGTAAGTGACAATGGTGCATTATTGATGATGCCATTAGCTGCAAGTGCAGACTTTCCTTAGCTAACCCCAATGCAAACCTGTGGAGTAGATCATTTTGTTGCCTCAAGCCTGACCACAACCACATTTACCTAAAAAGATACATCCTGATAAATAGATGAAAACGTTGAAAAGGGTTGGGATGTTAGCATGTCCTTTTTGAGGCCATTACACCCATGTGGCTCTTTTCAGGATATCTCAGGTGTTGTTACTGGTCTTTCAGATAGGTTGTGGTTTGCTCCAAGTTTCCCTCTCTAACCCAAACACTTACCTATTCCTTGAAAAAAAAAATCTAAAAGATATATTGGTGCATACCGCATTTAACAAACACTACAAAGACCTACAGCCCACCTACTGTACATCCAGAATAGGCACTCTGGAAATGGGACCCCTGTAAGGCAGATTCTGCTGGCCAAATCCGCAAATCTGGTGAATGTGATCACCTGTATCTGCTGTGGAAAATTATGTATTAGAGAAAAAGGAAATGCATCTGTGGAGAACAGTATCAACTGGTCCACCTCTCGGAGACAGGAGGCTGAAGGAATATGAATCACACATTTTGAATTGTGTGCCTGATTGAATGGAAAAAGGTTAAATCCACTTACAGGTTAACAACAAACTGCAAACGTTAGACTTGTGTGTTCTAAGGAGGGGGTAATGCACATGAATCTTTTTTTCTTCTTTCTTCTGGTGATGGGTTTTATTGTGGGGCGGCTGTGGCTCAGGAGGTAGAGTGGGTTGCCTGTTAATCGTAAGGTCGGCGGTTCAATCAAATGTATGAATGTGTGTGAATGTTAGTTTCTGTTTGAGCACTTAGGCTCAGTGTATAAATGTGAGTGAATGGTGAATGTAGTGTAAAAGCGCTTTGAGTGGTCGAAAAGACTAGAAAGGCGCTATACAAATACAGAGCATTTACATTGTACAAATTGTTGTGTTTTTAACAAATGTTTCTTACAGATACGGACATTCTCCACTACCAGTATTTTAGTGTGTATGTGTGTGTATAATATGTTCCCTTATTTCTTATTTAAGTTTAATGCTGTTTTTATATCACTTATTATTAATAACCCTTTTTATAATTCATTTATGTTTAATATCCCTCTGACAAGATGCTGTTTTTGCCATTTATGTTTTTCTGTATCTTCATTATCATGGATCATGTGTAAAATTAGGCTATTATTGATAAATGATTTTGTGTTATTCAGGTGATTCATCACTAATTTACTTTAATAAAGATAATAATAATAATAATAATAATATAATTAATTATTATGTCATCACAATCATAAACTCAAAAAAAACATACATTGAATTGCCATGATTTATTGAAGTGTCAGAGGAAATGCTGGGAAAGGTTTGTAGACTACAGCAAGCAGCACACACCTCCCCACCTCATCTGAGTGTGAAAGGGGGTTTCCTGCCATTAATGATACTGACAGCAAGACCTGTAATAGCTTGTGTGCAAACAGCCTCTCATTAGTGGATCTTAATGGACTCCTATTGGCAAGTTTTGTCCTTAATGGACCACATCCCCCTACCCCAAAAGCCATGGTATATTCCATAAATTGCGTGGGAGGGATAGATGGCATTTCCCTAGCCTGCCCTTCCTGCTTCCCACTGCACTACCATTTTAAATATTTTATTCCCTCTTTTAATAAGATTACTTGTGTCCTTGAACCTTTCTTAAAGTAATCCATTGCTAGTTACAAGAGAAAGCTTTTTTTTCTGTACTTTCTGTCCCATACAACTGCAGACCTTTGTTGTAATAAGGAAAATCTGACTTTGCTAAAGTGAATATTTCATCCATTAGCGCTTCCTCCCACACTGACGATTTACACAGATTTTCATAAATCTGTGTAAATCTATGACATTGCCTTGTACACCCCAAAACAACAAGGATACCTCACATTCAAACAGTTGTTGTTCTGAACTATGGTGGGTGTCTTGAGTACAAATGAGACAGAAGAGCTGGTTGACCAGAATCGGCTTTAGAAACACTGTGGTGGAAACATTAGTCTCTAAGCCTGCCTTCTGATTGTGTGTTGTGGGTTTAGGAGCTGGCTGACCTTCGACATATTCATGCTAAGCTGAAGAAGCAGTTCCAGGAGAAGACAGCAGAGCTCGCCCACGCCAACAGGAGAGTGGAGAGCCACGAGGCCGAAGTCAAAAAGCTACGTTTGAGGGTGGAGGAGCTGAAGAAGGAGTTAGGACAGGCTGAGGATGAGGTATGAACATGGAGTTTCTGACTGTTCCATCAATTTATAACTCTGTCACTCAACCCAACCAACAGTTAGATAACTAAAGACAAAACTGGTCTCTTTGGATTCACTCAGTCAAACATAAATTTTATTTATTAAAATTAAAAAAAAAATTTACACAATTGTAGCCATTCTGATGATGTACTCATGCTAACTTTACACAGCCACCTGTGTTGTAGAGATTCAGGATATAAAACAGTAGCAAAACAACATTAACATTTATCAAGGCAAGCAGCATGAGCCTCCTAAAACTTGCCAAATAAACTTTGTTTCTGATTCTGATGGATAGTCAGTAGTTGTTCAGAAAGCTTTGGGAAGCTTGTGTTGCTTTCCTGAAGAAGAAATACAACAGAGTAATGGTCATAATTAGGAGAATTGGGGCGTACTCACACTAAGCCCAGTTGCCGGAGCACAATTGTCCCCCCTTCACACTCCCCCACTGGCCTGCACTCACATTGCACCTGGCTATCTGAGCCGGAGCACGTTTACGTCATCACTCCAGTGTTTCCCTTACATTGATTTATATTGATATTTGATTTTTTTTACTAGGCCTATTTCAGTTGTAATTGATGGCAGAGCTGCGTGTAGAGCACATATTCGCTCAGCACCACGTCTCGCTCGCTCCCTCTCTCTCATGAACACCGCTGCACACCACATAAAGCTGTCAATGTCAGAGACCCACCTTAAAAAAGTTATTAGCAAGCATGTAAAGAGCCTAGCTAATAAGGATAGCTGTGTTAACGTTAGATCACAGCTAGGTTGTCGAGGTTAGCGCCCCCAACCCCCACCCCACGCCACAGGCTGTGATTCTGTGGGAAACACTGCACTCTTTTGGAGAGAAAAAATGCTTTCTCTCACACGGCACAGTGGCATTTATGTCTGAGTTCTGTGCCCAGGCATAGCACAGAGCGATCACACTGGTCAAACGAACCGGACTTTGGGGGTTATACATGCTTGTGCATGGTACAGATCGCCAAGTGTCAGTACGCCCTAAGACACAAGGTTGAAAAATACTGTAATTTCCCTTGAATCAATTATTACAATTTTCCTCATTGACCACGACAGGAAGTGTTACCTCATTTGGCACCCACAGCACACACTGGACACATCTTATGTAGGGAGAAAATGCAATAAGGAGAGACTCTTGCGGTGTGGGTTTACTTTGAAAACACTAGGCGTGGGTGTATATTACCCTTCAGACTTGACCCAAAAGCCATCAGCCTCAATTAAAAGTTTAGTGAGACTTGTGAATTTTCCTATTACAAATGTGTGTGTGTGTGTGTCTGTGTGTGTGTCTGTGTGTCTGTGTGTCTGTGTCAAGTTGGATGAGTCCCATAACCAGACCAGGAAGCTGCAGAGGTCTCTGGATGAGCAGGTGGAGCAGACTGAGAATCTGCAGGTACAATTGGAACACTTACAGTCAAGGTAAGGTGACACACACACACACACACACACACACACACACACACACACACACACACACACACACACACAGTTGTGAGGGATTTATTTCACTTTCTTTGCCCTAACCACTCAGTAGCAAGTGATGTGTCCGTCCTGTTGATGTCACTTTCATATGAAGCTGCAGTAGCAGTTGCTAGGAGCACGGTTTTCCAGCAAATACACAAAAGCTCCAAATATGTACAGTATGTACACAGTATCATCACAGCAGCAGAAAAACTAAATCAAAACCCACGACACTGGAATATCTTTAAAAAGGCTCATCCCAAAGTGACATTTTTGTGCTCAAAGCAAGAGTGGTGCCATGTGTAGCAACAGCACACGCCTAGACAATCATTGGGGCACTTACTCAAAACACACCATATTCAGGTGTGTGTGGGTGATAGCTGACAGCCTACTTGTAGCCACCAGTCTCACTGTGAGCCTCAGCCCTCACTTCTCTCACTATTTAGAGATTAGCTTCCTCTGCTGTGTGTGTGTGTGTGTGTGTGTGTGTGTCGCCTGTCTTTGAGTTTAGCTCTCACACTCTATCAGCTTTGTACAGTCCTCAGCTCCTTGCTCTCTGCCTCTCCCTCTCTGTTCTCTCCATTTTCTCCACGTCGTTGCTCTGCCACCCAACAGCCAATCGCAGAGCTCCCAGTCGCAAGTTACCGTAGTAACAGAGAGCTCTCTTGTTGCTCTGCTCTGTAGAGGAGGCATGTCGGCATGGTAACGGCTTGACTGACTGACACAAATCTGTGTGAGTTCTTGCAGAGGGTGTAGCTTAAGCTTTTATTCATTCTGGATTTTTTTCATTCAGTTTCTCAGAATGCTTTACTAGATGCATGCTTACTACATTACTTTGTCCCGTCACCGTGTTTCATGCCATGTGCCACTGACGCAGGTTAACATACAAAGAAAGTGTGCATGTGTAACATACATATGTGCTGTGTTATTAGTCATACAGCATTTCTAAGCCAAAATATCAACCACTTTGTGTTGAGGCTGGACGACAAATCACATTTTATTTCCAATTACGATTTTGGCTTCCAAAGATTATGAAAACAAGATAATTGAGATTAATTATTTTAGCACATTCCATTTCGCAATGATGCTTTCATTTTGTCTTGTGTTATAAATCTAGCGCACCCCTTTACTTTCCAGTGCTGCACTCTCACCCCTCCCTAAACACCCAAACTGTTACATTTAGTGAGGCTTCTTCTTGCTTGTTTTGCAGAAAGGCAGGCAGGAGAGTAAGCTGGGCAGGTGGCGAAACAAACAGATGCTGAATGAAGCAGACAGACTGAGATCTCTTGCAGGGAACAAAACCTGAGGGACAAGCAAAACAGAGTCAGGCAAAAGATCAGGCAACACGAGCAAAACACTGGAAGAGATTCACAGTATCGTGTGAATACCACATAGGTGAACTATTTATGGAGCGCTTTTCACAGTACTTAAAGACACTTCAAGTAAGATAAAATACATGGGTATCATGCAAGATCTTGCTTACTGGATGAGTCCCAGGTGTGCAGGTGATTGGACAGCAGGGAAAAGAGACCAGAGCACCACGCAGAGACAACACACACACACAAACAGAGAATACCGCCAGGGGACAGACAACAAACACAAGGGAGGGAACAACAGTAGGAGCTAACGTGGCCTAACAGCCAACTATGACACAAAGTCCCTCTCAGTCAGGCTGTGGCCTGTTTAGTTCAGCTCAAGCCAATATGATGTGGTTTTAACTGCTAACCTGCAAAGTCCCCATTATTAGACAAAGCCTATGGTATAATTTACTGCATTAATTAGCCTAACAACTAGCTGACTTTTCCTCTACCCATAGTTAACGAATTACATATTATTCATACTTATTTATATTTTTTAACAGTTAAATTTCATCATTATGTAATGTAATGAATTGTCATCAACTCTGTAGTACTGCTAAGCCCACACCCACACACGGAGCCCCCTCGATGAAAAATTGGATGTGTACATGTGCTCTTATTTGAGGCGTTTAGAGGAAGGGGAGAGTGCAACTATTACTATACCAGAGCTGTGTTTTTCGAAGACGAGACTGTGGGTCATGTAACACAGCCCTCATGACCACAGCTGCACAAATCTGTCCAACACAACTCTGTCAATGTTGGAAACCCAGATTTAAAAAAGTCATTAGCAAGCATGTAAGGAGCCTAGTTAATAAGGACAGCTAGCATGCTGTATATAGCTGCGCCACAGTTACACAGTCATTCTGTGGGAAACACTGAGTTATGATATGATAAGTTATTAACAGATGAGCTAATAAAGTCCAGTCAATAACTGAATTAAAACTGATTAATTTATTACTGAGATGAAAAGGGGCCACAAACACAGTTAAATAGGTTGCTTCCCCACAAAAGAGCCAAAATGTGTTGACTCAGCAGGGATGATATTAAAACCTGATCTACAGGAGAAAAATATTTAAAAGCAATAAGAACTGAGAGCCTCACTAGATTATATTCTATTATAATTATATATTTTGAATTGTCACCTGCCACCTGAATTTCTAGACATTTCCACCATAAATTGGTGCAGAAAAGGCAGAAATTGGAGCAGAAATTTTCACCAGAATGCAGGAAATTAAGTGTTTAATGCTCAAAATGTTTTGGAAGAGGACCCCCATACCCCCCACTTATTAAGTGCCCCATCCAAGAAAACAGTATCTGACATCAGACACAGTTTCTGGGAAGAACATTCACTTATTAGTTAAATATAATTACTTTTCACATGGCTTTTTTACCTTTTCCATGTTTTTAATAACAATAGTGACAATAAAAAAAATTCAGGGCAAATAGCAAACATCTTTTTTGGTGGGGGAGTTAAGGGACCTGGATAATGGATAGGGGGGCGCTGGCCCAAAAAAGGTGAGAACCACTGGTCTAAATGATCTCTAGATTTGTTTCTAGTCACTGAGGGTCTGAAAAAGGTAGGCAGTGGACCAAAACACTGACACATGAGGGGGTGACATAATCTTCGAGATCGAGATCTGTTAACGGTTGTTTCTTCATTTGTGCAAAGTTATAAACTGCAAAATCAGCCCAGTTCTTTGTTGCAGTAAGGGTCTTTCTCTTTGTCAGGCTTTTTACTCCTCTGTGGTTAGGTTGAGGTCATGTGAGTAAGAATCAGTTCTTGTTTAGCTTCACACCTTTTCACACACACTGTCAGAGCTGATCGATGGCAAACATGGATGTTGTCAAAACAAGGTTAAAATGTAGCTGCAAGCAGCAATGATCGGGATCTAAGCAAGTCGTGAAAAAAGCTACATTTTCAGAGAAGACCAGATGCAGATGGCTTAAGAGATTAAAGTGATGAAAGAATTTGGACTTGAAGCAAAGCTTTTTTTAAGATAATTGCAATGAAATAATTAATTGAAATGTTACAATAATTTTACATCGTCACCTTGACATTAGAGTTTCATTATGTGTACCTGACCTAGTGGGTGAAATGTTCAACCCAAGTTTTAAGGTTTATGTTGCACAAACACTTTTAGCAGAGAAAAGTAAGAAGAAAGTGCCACGGGATCCAAGTAAAATAGGACAACTTTAACTCACTATGATTTGAACACCTCATTGTGGGGATTTGTACCCTGGAACTCCCCAGACTAGGTGACTAACTGACTGAGCTACTGGTGAGAGGCGGTTTCTACACACCTTCCCACAAGTTGAGGTAGTGATGTCACATGTGCCAGACTCAGATATTGTCAGTGTAAACTTAAAACGCTTACAACAGACATGTTGTTGATACAATTCTGAAAAAAATCACACATCATTCTGCTGGTTTTAGGTGTATTGTCAGTTATTTTGGTGGTGTTTGATCCAACACTGAGCAAAAAAGAAAATGTAGTGCATACGGTACAAGTTACAGCAAGATACTGAATATCACTCCAGACTCACCGTTTGACCAATCTAACGACCCTTTGAAACACTTGATATCGGCCATCTACAGAATGTCTGTGTTGATTTTGGTAGCGTTTGAACGAAGACTTGTGGAGATATAGATGCTCATTGATTTAACATATTCTGAAAAATATAGTGACAGACTTGTTTGTCACATATGTGTGGATGTGCTGAAAAAAGTTCAGCTCTCTAGGATGTACGGATGATTTTCTTTGATTTTTTTTGAAGTTAAGAATGAGAAAATTTACATTAGTTGTAATAAGCCACGCCCACTCTGAGCAATCATTACCAAATTTAATTTAATAAAAAGTGACGTAATTTGACATTTTTAGAGCCACTGGAGCAAACATGCAGATGAATCCAGATAAAAGAAGTTTGACTCTAAACAAAGCCGTTTAATTATCGCAAAAACGTAAAGTTGATTGTTATAGCGCCATCATGAGGTATTTGAGTGCCACTTATTTGAGTAGTGGAATTTGCAACCCACCTGCAAATTTTGGTGAGTTTTCGTCCAGCAGTTTTTGCTCCCCAAACACTTTTAGTGGAGAAAAAGAAGAAAGAAATAAAGAAAGAAAGAAAGAAAGAATGAATAATTACAACAAAAACAATAGGGCTCCAGCAGCTTCGCTGGCTTACTGTCAGTTCAACAGCCTGCGATCAGGCACCAGCTGAAATGTGTGAGAGGATTAAAACTGACTCTACCTTTAAGAGACCTAAAGCCTCAAAGGATCCAGCCATCCTGACAACTCATGTATTGTGGAAAAAACAGGATGCTTAAGAAAAAAAATTAGACTGGGTAGAATCAAGTGTGGCCAAATCTATCTTCAAGGTCTGTTTCATATTAGACCTAGCTTGCATCTTTGAAAAAAATCAATAGTCATTTCTTTTTTTAATCAATTGGAAATGCATACAGTTCGTGGTGAGATGAAATCTTTTTTTTCATTTTGTGGCTCATTGAAATCAACTCTACCATGTAGATCACATATTTCCTGATATTTTCATTTGTCCTTGACATAAATGAACTCCCAGATATAAAAGATCTCAGCTGCTTTAGCTTTAGTAAGTTGGTATATGCTATTCCTCCTGTATTTAAATGCTGTTATTTCTAATGCTTAACAGGAGTCACTGATCTTTGTACCCCTCCTTTGACTGTTGTCCAAATCAGTTTACCTAATTAATGAGGCAGTAAGTCTGTAAGTGCTGTTACACATTGAGTTTAAGTTTGTATTTCAAAGCCAGCATCTAATCAAATCCATTGTTATCACAGTAAATTGCTGCTTGTCACTGAAGCTCTATGTTGTTATCATAACCCTGTTGAACGAATCAATTAAGGTATTTTTAGGCATATTTTTAAAGCTGTTGTTTTTAGCCATTCTATCAGTGGGGCTGTAGGGATGGCAATATAGGTTGGTTGGTTGCTCGGTTCACCACTTTGGTCCAGACTGAAACATTTAAGCAAATATTTGATGGTTGCCATGAAGATTACAAGTTATTCATAGTCCCCAGTAACGGAATTCTAATGACTTCATCCCTTAACATTTCAACTCAGAGTTTCACTTGGTTCAATACTTTGGCCACTGTGTCTATGCACAGCCTCACAGAGCGGCAACATGGCTGTACACTCTTAAGAGCAACACACATAGGCACTGCCCATAACATACAGTGAGTAAGAGTGGGCATGTCAACGGACAGTATGGCCAGAAATTCAGATTTTACAAATAAATGTTTTTAAAGTTATAATTAAATGACACAGTGTGATATTTTGTGATACACTGAATCTTTGCTGTTCATCATTATAACACCAAGTATGTGCATCTATAACTCTGACCTATTTGGCTCTTGCAGTTTTCTATGTGTAATTGTATATGTTCCCAATACACATTTGTACATATAAACACTACACACTTGTGTCCAATGTAAAAATGATATGTAGTACTGTCGTGTTCTTCTGACTCCCTGCACTCTCTGTCTCTATCCCTCTCTCAGACTGCGGCGGCAGCAGCAGAGTCCCGGTCTGTTTGGGAAGATGCGATCGGCTCGGTTCAGTCCTGAAAACAAAGATGGTCCAACCAGTGACATGGACGAGGAAGACGAGGAACTGCAGCTCCAGATCCCATGACACACACACACACACACGCATACAGTGTTACAGGAAATACTTTAAAAAAATCAGCAACAGACACATAAAGAAGGTGAATAGTCAATATGAATGTTGTTGCTCTTGGGGGAAATCTTTGCATCTCCAGTAATAGTAAATGTTTTGCAACAGCAACAAGATCAAACCCATCAGGAGAGTGACAGACATTAACAGGATGTCTGGACAGTGTAATGCTGAATGAAAGGATCTTTCTTCAACTTCCATTAAATCACATTAGCAGAGGCATGTATCATCCTTTCAATGTACTCACTCATTCTTACCTCATATCACCACAAGCATTACATATGTCCCATCTGAAATGTGCTACTGTATTCAACAATGCCTCAACCGCCAGTATTAATACTTCGAGCCTTTTGTCCCCCTCTGAGCTTTTTTGATATATCACAAGGGAATATAAGTCATTTTAGTAATTGACATGTTAGTTAAATGGTCTGCCACATTTTAACTAGTATTTGTAAAGGCCAAATAGTGAAGATTCAAAGTCTAGTACTGATGTATTTAAACTTCAAAACTTATGCTGGCAGCACACTGCACAACTTTTAGCCTCAGTATAGCTGCAAGTTGGTTAGAATACAACCACGGTATGTGTGAAGCAAGAGATTACCTGGTTTTCCATTTGTCACTCTCCAACCAGTCTCCGCTCAAACTGAGAGAAAACGTGAAAATGGATCGTAAGCACCAGGGCTGTGTTCACGACCAAATTCCCAAACCCAACCTGAGACGATGGCTTTATTTTAATTTCTTCTTCAAAGACAAGGTTAAATCCTTGCTTTGGAAAGGCTTTTAACCCACATAAAATAAGTCATTTGACTGCAATAATAGACTAACACAGAGTATGGCAACCCACCAGCACCAAACATATATAGCTTCTACTAGCCAATAAGCCATAGGTTTAGTGGCAGTACACACCAAGAAGTATGTTCCCAAGAATGATCTAATGTCAAAATCCTGTCTGAAGATGACAAGAGAATGTTGTCTGCAGTGCCAGACAAGTTAGTACTATTACAAGTAGTATTGTAACTCATTTGATGTGACTACCCCTACAGCAGAGCCCTACTGATAAATCAGCGTGCGGGATATATCGGCTGATATGAGCCAATTGCCAATATATCGGTATCCGTGTTTATAACAGCAGATAAAGGACAATTTAAAAACAGAAGACAGGTCCTTCAATCTTGTTATGAGTGTTGTCGTTGCACAGTTTGTCCACCAGAGGACTCCCCTGCAACTCCCCTGTTGGCAACACGTTTGAAACACCATAAATCCACCACAGAGCACACCTGGCATGAGTCAGTACTATTTATAACAATACTTATTTTTTTAACCGCATTATGTCATGTTATCTTGGTAAGGTTTCATAACTTAACATAACAAATGTTAGGAATAATATTTGTTTATGTTATGTGTTTCTGAAAATGAAAAATGAAAAATATCGGCCGATATATCGGAAGATCAGATTTTAAAATCCTCAAATATCAAAATCACTATCGGTCTTAAAAATCCCATATCGGTCAGGCACTACCCTACAGCGATGAAGTGCATTTTAAAAATGAGGGAAAGGGATGAACTGTTTAAACAAAAAATTCCATTGCATACTGTAGTGTTTTAGTGAACTGTAAACTAGATGGAGAAAGGAATAATAGGCCTGTAACTGTGTGGCACTTGTATTCTCGTGTAAATGTTTTAAGCCTGGTCAATTCGTGACAGTGTGTTCCCAGCATGACTGAAGCTGCTCCCTGACAATAAATAAATGTCACACTGAATTTTAGACAATGTGTACATTTACACGGGCTAAGTAAAAGAATGTCCTTGTAAATCGAACAGATAGAGCTTTACATCAGTGGGATGAGGACAGTAGTAAAATGTCTTGTATTGTATTGTTTTTGTAAAGGGGGATATGTACCTGTTAATGTCCACTTAAGGCCCGATCACATCAGCATTTAACACTGCTACATTTCAAGATTCAAGGTTAACCAATGGAAAACCATCTTGACAGTGCTGACAGGCAGAAACTATTGTAGCCTATTAGCTGTGTCATCATCTACTATTATTTAACCCTCCTGTCAGTATAAACTGCTCCACTGAAGATGAACGGTGTGCATCCGAGGAGCCTTGCTCCCCCCCCCCCCCCCCCCCCCCCCGTCATTAACTCTTTATTGAATGAAATGATGCACAATCTTTAGGACATAAGTTAAGCGGCGTGTAAACCGCACAGTGCAGAGAAAATATAAAGGAGGTTGGAGAGTTAATGTGATTGGCTAGTGATAGCATGTTCCCAGCTGTCTCATGAGGTAGCGGTTAGCTCTCCAGATACAGTTGTTCAAGTAGTCCCTGCGTCACCACCCAATTAGGAAAGATACATTTCTCTGTTCGTATTTCTGGTGTGACCAGTCCTAATACAGACTGAACTGAAACTGCATTCAAAAGCTGGATATCAGTGATATTATTCTTTAAGAGGAAGAGATTTAAAGCTGAATTTCACCCCTTAATCCTTTGAAGGTGAAAAGTTTAGGTTTGGTTTATGTTTGAATTTTTGGAATTAGTTTTCAGTCTGTATAGTCTTTTGGAGCTTACCCATTGCTGGTACCAGCTCATCTCGCCTTGCCTCTACTCACCTCACTTTTGGTGCCCCATCCTCCATTTTCCATTGCCGATATAGTACCCCGTCAATGTAGCTTGTGATCATAGCGATGCTATACAAATCTACCGTAACATAATCTTCAACACGATACACTTGACACACACACACACACACTAGTCTCCTCAGTTCGCTTGGAACCTCGACGGAGGTGATGCCAAAAAAAAACTACCAGTTACCAGATTTGCCCAATGAAAAACCAAAAGAAGGCGAGCACAGTCGAGGCGAGTTGAGCTGGTACCGTCCGGTGAAGAAAGGACTATTGTAGTGGTGGTCCGATACTCCATTTCATCAGTATATAGTACACTACAGTACACACTAAACCTTTACAGCCAGCAAAGGTAAAAATACATTAAAGGCTCTGTTTAGTTTGGTGGTGCAGTTATGATTTTTATGCTGAAGTATTTTAAAATCCCACAAATCCAGTTTCTGTCCAGTAATTCCCTCAGGACTGTATTCAGTCAGGGTAGAAACGCCTCCAAGGCAGCATTTAGACCATCATGGGATAATGAAACACTCACTGAGACCCATGCCAGTAAAATTCCTGTAGACTTAATACTCACAGGCGCCTAAGACAGCCCATGTATTCAACAGCAGGATGGAGTTTTGGATACACTCAGTGTTTGACTGAAGAGTTAATTTATTTGTACAAAACCTCGGCTTGGCTAAATCTCCCGTCTGTGAAAGAGCTCCAGTCTAGCTGTGGATAGATGCAGTTGTGAAAGCAATAAAACACTCATTTATCTTCCACCATCATCCACAATCACTCTCAGCCTCAACTATGATGCTGGAACGGGACCAAGATATTTTTATTGATCAGGATTCTGAACTATTTATGTTGTTATGGTTTACTTTTTATAAATGATCTGTACCACAATGGTTTTGTATTAGCTCTATAAATGTCAACTGTACATTTAAAGAAACATGAGTCACTGTCTTTTTTTCTACATGCTGTATGTATTCTTAATCTGTGTGTCAGTGTAATTGTCTATTATTGCTTTCCACAGACCAGCAGTGCCTTATTGTTTGTAACTTCGTAGTTGTTCCCCATAAGCTTTCTCTAAAAACATAAATTCTTCCTAAAGAGTGATTTCTCACAGACCAGCAGGAATATGATAACTTTGCCATGGCTTATTGTTGTCAGCTTATTGTTGTGTTTATTGAACATGAAAAGGAAGCCAAAGTGGATTGGGAGGAGAAACTCTTGTTAGATTAATCTGTCAAAAGAAAAACAATTCTGTAAAGCAGGTTTTCAACCTTTGAGGCACCGGAGAGGAGAGACGCGAGGCTAAACTCCACAGACAAACAATCTACTGACTGCAAAAATTGAGGTCAGTATCCTCACCTCCATCAATACCACACTTGATTTGCTGGTCACACAATGAAATAAAAGAGCTTCGCCCACAACTACATAAAAAAGTTAGAACTGCCCAACAATTCCTTTCAAGCCACAGTCAAAACAAGAAATTGTCAGAAAACAAACCAATAAAGAAACCATATGGGACTGTCAAACCAGAAGCATTCCTGACGATCAGATTTTCTGGAACACCCATCTGATAACCATAAGGCACTGATCAAAGACTTTATGAAAGCCCAACTCAAACGCCAACCAGACACTGTAAACCAGATCACTTTCCATGTGTTCTCTGTATTGGATCTCGATCTAAAAAATTGGCCATCAGCACCAAACTGGAAAATTTCAAACACAACGAGCTGGTTAAGAGGAAAGGAATGGAACTAAAAGGCAGTAAATATGAATGACCAATTCCCACTCAAACACCCCCCACACACACACACACACACACACACAAACACACACACAAACTTACTCGCCAGGATGCATTTAAGTAACCCTCAATTTCTTCACTTAAATTCCTAAAATGGTATACGTACATGGGATTGGCTCCAAAGCTAAAAGGAATAAAATTATTAATTATTAATAAATTAAATCCAGAGATGAAACCCACACTTCAAAAGCATCCATGGAAAATAATCTCACTCATTCTATAAGAAGAAAAACAGACTGCAGACAAAATCTATCTAGAACCGAAAATAGTTCTAAAAGAAAAACTTCTACAGAACACCTAAATAAATAAAAGGAAACATATAAGATATGTCTGATATAAACAGTTTTTAATCCTACAATTAAGACATAACCACTTTGAATATAATAGTAATTACCGTAAAAATCTTGCACATCCACTCAAAGTAAAAAACATCATTCTAGCTATTAAACAAATGCAGCGGGGAAGACATAAAAACACTTTAACCATCCATTACTCGAACCAGACCCAAATGATATTAAAAATAATCCTAATAAAGATCCCTCATTAACAGAAGTCCAGGCTGAAGTATTAGTTAAAACATTTACACCTGAAGAATTTCATAAAGAACTCATGCTAATACCTCCCAACAAAGCACCAGGCCCAGATGGCTCCCCTGCTTAGTTTTTTAAATATTTTTGGCAAACCATCTCACGTGTTTTCTAGAATGACACAAGAACTGATAGAAACTGTTAAAATTCCGGCATATATGAATACTGCTAACATGAAAGTACTAGTGAAACCTGATGATAAGATTCAATCCTTTCCCCTAGCTATTGACCTCTATCTGAAATCAACACTGAGATTAAAATCATCATCTGTTAGCTAGAGTGCAATTTTTGGTAATGTAGCATTAGCAAAGTGGGAGTAGTTTATCTTTATATATGTCCACGTGTGGAGACCTGCAAACAAGAGTGACTGTGGTGTAGACACAACACTAATAGTCACATAACTGGATCAGAAGAAGCCAGAAGAGGGAGGTGAGGAGGGGGGACCTGCATGCAATTGCTGCTGATGTTGTTAGCATGACTGTTGATGATATAAGCAATCATCCCTAAAAATGCCCAAGACAGCCACTTTCAACAAAAGCAGGTTGGATCAATATGCATGGCTGGAATACAGCGTGGCCAAAGATGCAGTGTTTAGCTTTTTTAACATTTTTTAAAACATGGGCACAGACTTCATTTGGATTCAGCATTTACCAACAACTGCCAAAAAGCATCATCATCTCTAAGAGTCATCATCAAATTTGCTTTGGAGACATGGAGTGAGATTAAACAAAAACGGACAAGTGGCTCAAAGCAAACACTAAGGGACGTTCTGCGTTGGTTATGGTGAACCGAAAGTACAAGAAGGCAGTGGTGGAATGGCTAAGCGTTACAGCTTGCCAGGGGATCGCACAGGTGAGGTGAAGGTGAAGAGTCATCTAGGGTACGTTTTGTTAGCTTCTGCATGTCATTGGGATGTTTGATGCAACAGTGGCCAAGAAGTTAACCAGCAGTTCCCCAAATGCCAAATACAATCGCTATGACATTCAGAATAACATATTTTCTGTAATGGCTGACATGATAAATAGCACTTTTTTTAGTGGATGAAAGTAAAGATGCTAGTAAAAAGTAAACTCAGTGGGCTCTCAAGAAGAACAACCATATGCCACCATTACCACATTCTTTATGATACCTTTAAAGCCATCAATGGATATAAATATGCCTAATTTGAGATCTTTTTTGCAGATTATCAGAATCAGAAAGAGCTTTATTGCCAAGTAGTTTTTTACACGTACGAGGAATTTGTTTTGCCCAAGGTGCATAGTGGGATAATGCATTTTACACCAGATCTGACAAAGGGTATTTTAAAAAGCAACCTTGGAGGAACTGTTAACTACCAGAGCTGAGACAAATAAGAGTACAGAGATAAGCTGGAAGTATACCCAGTATCGCTTTATAGATAAATACCAGTGTTGTTGTCTATGAGTGGCCAATGATGTCCAACCCACCAAATAATCATCAAGAATGCAATGGTGAGTAAGGGACTTAAAGGCCCCTAGTAAGATTTTTATTGTAAATGTGTAGTCTCTGAGCCCAAGCTGAAACTTATTATGCTGATGACATCATTAGGGTTACTTTCTTAGACTTGACAAAACTCATGCAAAACCACAGAATACAATATACAACAAAGCTGGGTAGTACTCATGACAAACTGACCTTCAAAAAATCAGTTTAAGTCTAAAATAAAATTTGACCAACCCACTAGAGGGCAGAAAAACAGGGACATTTGGTGCACTAGTGAGTATTTAGGCCAGCATGACAGTGGAATTGAGTCAAAATAAAGTACAGTGTGCGTTTATGGTGATGAAGGAACAGTGTGGCTGAGTGTTTTGGACAACAATGGAGCTGTATGTCACAGAGGAAAAATATAAATCTGTCTATGGATCTATAGATGCACACACAATACTAGTTTCTGGGATTGATAAAGAAACATAAAATATAACTAGACTTATTCTTTATACACATTGCAGATACAGACCAACATTATCATTGATTTGGAGTCATGTTTGTGTCCAGCTGATGAATGTAAATCCAATATTCTCTCTTTTAGTTCTGTTTTTGGTCTCCACCAACTCCTCCACCAAAATCTGGCTCTTTAGCTGCTAAATGCTCCACTATGTTCACTAGCTTGTATCTAACTGTATCAGTCTGCTGCTGAGTAGGTGGTGTACAATGGGTTTATCAAAGCTTTTTACCGGAAACAGCTGCCTGTCTGCTTGGAAACAAGGTTAACAAAAACAGAGTTTGGTGGGCTACAAATCAAAACAATGAGTTACAGTGTTGCATGATTTCAGCACTATGTGCAACACATCACACAGTCATTTGATTCAACAATAATGCAGACTTAGTAATTGTTAAGTAATTGTTAAATGTTTTAAGATGTTTTTAAATGAGCACAGATACCCCCATGGGGATAATAGGCAGAATAATTACTGTAATATGAGAGGGTAAAAAGCCAGAGTTAGAAAATCAGAGATGAAGGAGTTTGAACAAGAAAGAACACTAAACTCACATACACTCTGTGGTGTCTTTGGCAGCGCAGACTGTTGTGTACTGTAGAGAGTAGACACAGTAATGAGACTGAACCTCAGCATGACTCTCCACGCACAGCATGGGGAACAGCTCGCATCTCCCTCTGAGATCATATTTATTACTGTGTGTGTGTGTGTGTGTGTGTGTGAGAGAAGCCAAGACATATAATGGATGTTTTACCCCTGTGAAGGCTGGAGTCAGAATAACTGAAAGCACAGACACAACTCTGGCTCGGCACTTTTTGCGTTTTGTGTGTGCTTACTTTGCACTTAGAGTAACGGCAAACACACAACGTGCCCACTCAAGCTGTTAGCTGTGGATGATGGTGTGTGTGTGTTAATGTTTAGCTTGATCCCATGAGTACAGTAGAGAAGATAATTTCAAAGCATGACACACACTGTAAAGAGCTAAGGGTGTGTGTGGTATTCACTGTATGTGTTGGAGGTGGTTGTGTTCCCCATTTGATTTCCACAGATGTGTGTGTGTGTGTGTGTATTAAGCCCCGAGACTAGTTCATTATGTTAATTTTCCCTGTTTTTATTAGGCCAGTAATTGCTGACAGCAGGAAGGCAGAACATTACATTGATCCCTCTAAAAGTATTCCACAGCTACCACAGCATCTTCTCTTATGCATCTATGTGTATGTCTGTGTGAGCGTGCATGCTTATATATCACAACAAAATAGAAACAATGTGAAAATGATTCATTGTGTTGTGAGAAATAATTGATTTCATTTCCACTGCCATGCACCGACTGTAGCTGTGATGACAGGCTCCCTCTGCCTTTCTATTCATTTTTATCGCACTGAATTGGTGTCTGTCTCTTTTGTAATAAACCAATTTGCTTGACTGCATGTGAACCAGGCCAATAAATAATCTTCAGCAGATGGACTATTCAGTTGTCATGGAGATTGGCCAGGTGTCATCATGTGACCTAAGTATGGAACTTTGGTCATGTGATGACGAGCAGGAGTTTCTGTCTTTAGGGTGTAGCAGAGATCTTTTAAGTGTTGAATG